TTTCAAAACAAATTTATTTTAAATGGATGATAAAATTGCTTAGGCTGCATTTATCCGTTATATTTAATAAGCAGCTATTTTTATCTGAAACTAACAAAAACCTAAGAATTTAACCATATTGAAATTTAATTAGTTTTACAGTAAAACTATGGGTATTAACAATAACAAGTTTATTTTTCACACTTATTTCTTCAGTAAATTTAAAATATTAATTTAGCTTAAATAGATGAAATGATAAAATCTGCTAATTCTAAGAGAGCATTTGTCACATCAATTAATTTATAATCATATAGGACAAAAGCTTCCATTCATTTATTTTTTAAATTCATTATTCAATTTTTTTTTTTCTACCATAATGCTATAAATTATATATGCGTATGAACGTTTTACTCTATTGAAATTAAGCTTTTAAAACTTGAAATTTTTTTCTCGTTTCTTAAATCTAATTTCATGCTAATAATTATTCATCTGTATTTAAACAAAGTTATTTCATTCCAAGATCAATTTTCATCATCGAATGCTTGAAATATATTTCATTGATATTAATTTAAATCATGCTATCATGATTTAAACATTTGTCAACATTCATAATCAGTAAATGTATGATCAGATAAATTGAATCACATAATTAGGTAAGTTAGGTAATTATTAGAAACTTTAAAAGGTATTACATTACGGTACTTTGTATTACATCCATTAATCGGCTAAAAAAAAAAACGCATGGATTATCTAAGAAATATAAGACTAGAAAGACTTATCTCTTTTAAAAAAAAAAAAAAAAGAACTAATGTGAAATTTCAATATTTTTTTTCAAAACATGAAAGGATTTTGAAATTTTGAAATTTTGATTTTACGATTTGAAAAAAGAAAGTTCATTTTTAATTTGAACTCCTTTTAAGGATTGCAAAGAGCAAATATTCAGAAAGATAAAGATGTACTGAATTTGTAAAAGGTTACTGCTGCAGCATCCAATCATACTTACTAATTTTTAAGATTGCAATCATCTTTGCCTCTGAATAAACACGATTTTAATTTTTTTTTCTTTTTTTTTTTTGTTTTATTGTGGTATCAATTTCTATAGGAGGAATCTTTGATTTTTGCATATTTGGTTTACATATTTATGAATATTTTCTCATTGATAATATCATTCATTATTATCACTGTATTATCACCTACTTTCTCGTTCTAGGTTAATCAAGATTTACTTATCACCTTTTTTTTTTTCATTTGTTTCTCCCTTCTATTAATTGTGAAAAAAAAAATGCAAAAATTAAGAAGATATTTATAAAAATAAAAAATGGATAAATTAATAAATCCCAATAGTTTAAATGTTTAAAGTTAACAATAATATTTTCACTTCTCAAGAATTGATTTGATTGTATAAATTAAAATTAAGTTTTGAATAAACCTTACAAAGTTTGCAAAGATCAATAAAACAACCTTATTACCTTATTAATGATGAATGTTTATTAGTAATATATGACAAATAATTAATTACAAGTAATAATTGACTTAAAAAAAAAAAAAAAGAAATTGATGATATGCTATAAGAATAAATAGCAAGAAGTTAGAAAATTTTACATTAAATTCATACTATTTGCAAATTATTCACAAATAATTCGTTGTTTCATTTAAAGGACAAAAAAAAAAGAAAAGTAAACAATTTTTGTGATCATTGTGAGAAATTAAAATTGCATCTTCTCTATCGTGTAGTGAAATCTCATGAGCTTTCCATATGATCTTCTTATTATCGTAGAGCCAAGGCCAAAAAAGGCCAAGATTCAGGCGAAATACATAATAATGTTTGGTTGATGTTCCCAACTATCCTTAGGCATTATTATCTTTATTCCTTTATTTTGCATAAAGTCAAATTTCATATCTCTGTATGCAAACATGCATATTTCCTCATATAATAAATCGCCTATTTAAACCATCAACTTTTATTTCATCTCTCATTTTAGATATTTTTTTTTTCTGGTAGAAGAACCTTAAGTCAGTGTATTGGTATCATATTTAGTAGAAGTAACTAGGCTATTTTCTTAATGTTAATAGCAGCCCGATAGCATCCATATCCTAGGACCAAAAGGATGAATCCATTCTATTTCTTAAACTACTGTCATATGGTTTAATTGCTAAATGAAACG